TGCTGAACCCAAGTCGGTCTTCGCTATTTTCAAGAAGGTAGTGGACCCTTGCGTCGACTCCTGCGCCTTTTGGTAGGCGATTCGTCATCCTCGTCTCTCTTCCTCTTATTCTGCGATGCTGGCAGATCTTGTGACCACTTGCCGATGAGGATGCGGGTGTCGTCCTTATCTCTGTCTCGAGGCTTGAGTGGCATGTCTTCAATGTCTGCAGCACTCGACCAGTTTTTGTACAGTGCGCTGAAGAATTTCGTCCTGTCATCTGCGGAGATGTTTATCACATCGGGGTCGGCATCGCGGTAGATCTCGGGTTTCTTTGTCTTCACCCATTTTCGGAGGTTGTCGGTGAGATCCAGCTTCTCACACAGACCGAAGTCTGTGGGACTGCTCGTGAAATGACCGCTTGGTCGCGATGCGAGGTATCCGCCATCTGCCTCGAAGTCCTCGGTACGAGTGCCTATCACAGGGAGAGGAATCCTGCCGGGCTCTTCCTTGATTTCGGGGGCCATATTAGCATGGCCAACCTGAACGGAGTCTGCAGAAGGCAGGCCCGGATCAGTTTGACCAGCTTGGCCGACATCGCCTTGCGCTTTCTGCATCATTGCCCGAGGTTTGGCGCGGGTCAGAAGCGAATATCGTCTGAGTAGGAGAGAGTAACGGGGTGCACGAAGGGCAACAAGGAAGAAGAGAGCGACAGGGTGCACGAAGGATAACAGGAGAGAAGAGGGCAAAATGCTGCATGAAGGAGACCAGAGGCTGAGAAAAGGTCAGGACTGAAAAGGGATCACGGGAGGGGGAGATGATGAGGAGGTGTGGCAGAGGAGGAGAAATGAGAAAGGGCGAAAGAGTATGAGGGTGGAATTTTTATGAATGCGTGGAGAGGAGTGCAGGCGGGAAGAGGTATAGACGAAGGGAAGAAGTGATATTATGAACAGCTTGGAAAGCCGAGGAGAGGAGGAGCAAGAAGAGGGAGACAATAAGGAGACAATCGCGAAAAGGGGCTACATTACGCTGCATAGAATATTTACGCTACTAACGCTTCTTTAATATGGATCAATGAGTGAAATAACATGAAAGTTCTAAAGCATTCACGTTTATTGCCATTTGGATTTTACCCCCTGAGATCATCTATCTCATGTTCAGATTACCTATGTTGAACTTTACGTTAGCAACGACCCTTCCGAGTGTAAACAGCGCCTGACCATGACACTTACCTTTAGGTAGTGAACAGTACAAGGAAGGAAAAACTTTCACACTTAGTTTCTATGAAATAATTTATTGGAAGGGTAGATCATCGTGCAAGTAGAGTCTACATCAAAACTCATCTTACATCTCCCCACGATATTCATGTCGTTCATCTCTCTAAGCATTGCTAACGCGTATAATCGAAGAAAAGGCAAAATGGCTCATCAGAGCGTCGAGGTGGCATTTACTCGTATTAAGGGTGCAGAATTAGAAGACTTCCTGGGAGACTCGAACGCCAGCACATCTCGCGTACCCTATGCGTTGATCACGCACTACTGCCATCTAGCATACTTAGAAAGGCACTGCCTAAGAGACCTACTTTTTGCCTGGCTCGAGGTTTCCCACAACACCACCGACCTTCTCAGTCTCTGCCCAATCACACGATCTCAACGCGAGTCCTTCTTCTCCAGCTTCTTCTCCAACTGGGATCCTCGCAAACCGACCTGCAGCCCAGAATACATACCTTATATGGAAACAGACGGAAAGATCGAAGTTGGCGTGTGGAGCCAAGATCTCCCAGCCTCGAGCGAGGAACCCGAACTTGCCCAAGAGGATGGCGAGCAGGAACCAACTCGTCAACTTCCGACAGCCAGGCAGGCTGGTCAGAAAGCGTTTATAGTTCCCTTAATTGACGACAACGGCAAGAAAATCGTGATCACATTCCTATATGTGGACGCTGATGGCAAGTTCTGTCATCATCCACAGTATGTAACTTTCAAGCCGGGCTTGACTCATGAAGATGCCTACATGCAAAGTATCAAAGAGTACGACGAGATCAAGATTTCCCGGGCTTATCAATACAATATCGAGGCCATAATTGACACTGCTCGTAAGCGAATCGCCAAATATTGCGATGACGGGGTTATAGAAGGTCGACTGCCCGTAACGGGCCACAGAGTCCCTACACGAGTTGATTTCGACCCGATCTTGCCCAAGATAGAGAGCGGTGACGCCTGTTGGGAGACATGATACGCTTGCATCAGCAACAGCTTGCCCTGCGCTAGAAGCGATCATATCATGAAAAGGTTTGTCATAGGTTGGTCGATCTATGGCTGGTATCCGGCTACTTAATTGTATGTCATCGGTATTAGCCTGGAACATGCTCCTCTTACATCCGCTGCTCAGGTTTGGTCTGAAGCTCCCCGAGCAGAGAATGATACCTACGATGGCGCAACCCTAGGAAACCAATGAAATGCTTCTGGCGCACACTCTTTTCTGCTTGTGCGCGGGATTATGATACTGAATGCGACAGAAAGTATCGTGCGATGGTCGCAACTCATGCTTTGAGTTCTGTGATGACTAGGGTATTCGATGTTGGCTCACGGTCTATCTGTCTTCAAGAGTCAAAATGAAAATCGATAGCGATATGAAATATAATGCTGTATGCTTTTGTTAACGGTATCGCATTGGTGTATTGCTCCAGTGTTGTGATCGATTCTGACGGATTGAAGGAGGAAGATCAATCATTTCAGCTATGAAAAATAAGTAAATGAATGATGAAAAAGCCCAGTGCTGACAGAAGTGCCTCGCCGTGAGGTAGAATACTTTCAGTGGATGTCAATATAATACTTTACCTAGATGCCTTATCTAAAGGTCGATGAGGTGAAGTACCCAGGTAAGTTTCCCTATATTTCGGTTGTCCTTATCTCGCTCGACAAATGACCCACGTTCAGGTCACGCAGCGCATTGACCAGGTGACCTATCTAAGGTAGCTCCCAGATCGTCGTTGCTACCTACCTAACTAGAGCTCACAACATTCAACCAAGCATCGATAATTCTTACCTTTCACCGATCCGCCATTCGACCTTTGACAACAAGTCTCATTTACTTCTCCAGCTTACACATAGCTTCATCCCCTAAAATGACTCAGGTTACGCCTGCAATGCTGAGCGCCCGCGCTTCGTCACTATCATTGCGACAACAAGCGCTATCGTCGTCAGCTACGCTCAACAACAATGCGACAGCCTCCCGAAAGCCCGAATCGAAGCAAAGTTCCAAGAACTTTATCATTTCAGATATGAAGGGCCGTGATACAAAGGATAACCGTGTTTGTGCTTCCTGTATTACCAAGCTTGCGCCTGATGAAGTCGGTCAGGTGAACTGGCACCTCGAGGCTGGCCAGGCCTGTAAACTGTGCCAGGTTGAGAAGATGGACCCTGAGTGTTTTACCAAGCCCTTCTGCGACTTTCTTCGGGAGAACCCTACGATTTTCCACACCGTTGATTACTTTGAAAACAAGCTGAAGGCGCTTGGATATGAGCAACTCTCCCCCCGCGATAACTGGTCGGGCAAGATTCAGCCTGGTGGCAAGTACTGGGTCACTCGCAATGGGAGCTCTCTTATCGCTTTCAAAGTTGGTAAAGCATATAAGCCTGGGAATGGTGTTGCTATGATCGGTGGCCACATTGACGCTCTTGCCGCGAAGCTCAAGCCCGTCAGCACAAAGCCTGTTAAAGCCGGATACATCCAACTGGGAGCTGCACCCTATGCTGGAGCTCTGAATGCAACCTGGTGGGACCGGGATCTCAGCATTGGTGGACGGGTTATCCTCGACGATAAAGAAACCGGAAAGAAGACTGTCAAGCTTGTGAAGCTAGATTGGCCCATCGCCCGAATCCCCACTCTTGCGCCTCATTTCGGAGTCGGTATGATGGGAAACAACAACGCTGAGACTCAAGCCGTTCCTATTATTGGCCTAGAGAGCTCACAACGTCCGTCTGCCGAGGCTCTCGGACCCGCTGGCTCCTTTGTCAACACTCAACCCCCACGACTGGTTGAGCTCATTGCCAAGGAACTCAACATCCAATCTTATAGTTCGATTGTCAACTGGGAACTCGAACTTTACGACTCTCAGCCCGCTCAGACCGGTGGCTTAGATCGGGAGTTCATCTTCGCTGGCCGCATTGATGATAAGCTCTGTAGTTGGGCAGCCCTTACCGCTCTCTTGGCATCTTCAGAAAACAGCGACGAGGGAGGAATCAAACTCGTCGCCCTTTTTGATGACGAAGAAGTAGGCAGTTTGTTGAGGCAAGGCGCTCGTGGTAACTTTCTTCCCTCTGTCGTTGAAAGAACTGTCGAGAGTCTATGTCCAGATGTATATGGACCAGGACTTCAAGGACAAACATGGTCTGCAAGCTTCCTCGCGTCTGCCGATGTCACACATGCCGGAAACCCCAACTTCCTTGAGAAGTATCTATCTGAGCATGTGCCAGAGCTCAATGTTGGCGTAGCCATCACCTACGACTCCAACGCTCACATGACAACTGATTCTGTCTCTGCTAGCATTATGGAGCGGGCAGGGGAGCTTGGTGGATGCCGGACACAGAGGTTTCAGATCCGAAGCGATTCCAGAAGCGGCGGAACCATTGGCCCAGCACTAAGCAGCATGATAGGCGTTAGAGCAGCAGACGTAGGCCTTCCACAACTGAGCATGCACTCGATCCGCGCCACCACTGGTGCGTTGGATCCCGGCCTGGGTGTCAAGTTCTTCAAGAGTTTCCTTGACAACTGGGAGAAGATTGACGCTGAGTGGCACTAGTGTGGGAGGTAAGGGCGTTTTATATTTGATTCAGGGGCTTTTTTTTTTGGATACCTGCTTGGATGGATGTTATGTTGTAGAGTTTGGCGATCTTAGACTAGAACTGTACACGATATAGATAGATTGAGAGCAATACGGAGTCTCTATCGTTTCATTTAAACGTCCACACCGCAACGAAGAAGGTTAAAGTCAGGGGTTGGCAAATCAGTGTCTATTATGGGTTCATAAGTCCAACATGACTACTGTAGCACATCCATCCGTTCAAAAGCCGATATTGACATCAAAACTCCAATCATCTGCCACTTCCATTGCCTATTATACCTAGCAGTAACTGAACCTTAATATCCATCCAACGTGGATACGCCCTACACGAGCAAGCCCTACATTTTGGTATGGGGGCCGGCCTTGAAAGATATTAGTAACAAGTCAAATGCTTAGTCCAAGGAAGAATGACTTGCCGTTGAGATCTACCGTGAATACACTTCCGTTTCAAACCTTTCGATCTCCATAGCCCGCCTTAGGTCGCAGGGCCTCGAGATCAGCGATAGCACAGTTCTTCATATGCTGATGTCTAAAGTGTTCGGACGCGAGAACCAGTCTAAGTAGATTGGGGGCCCGGCACTCAACCCCAAGCTGAATAGGGGCTCCAGCACCTGCAATGGCCCACTTCTGAATTCGACGTCGAGCAGCCTCAACGATGAGCTGCAGATTATGACTGCAGACTTTGTTCTTCTCAGAAATGTCGAAATGGGTCAAGAAATTGTGCTTGGCCTGGGCTTCAGATAGCCCGATTAAGAGCTTTACCTGAGATTTCAAGACTCTTTGTCCAGCCTTGTCTTTATAAAGCCAGGTAATGCCATCTGCGTCAAGGTCGAGTGAAAGATAGATAGGAATCGCGTTACCCTTGCGAACCTTGGTGCTTCGGCGTCCATTGCTGGTTGATTGCTGGAGGCATCGGGAGAGAAGTAGCCGACCTGGTACTGAATCTTTGGCTTGTCACGCGGAGGCAGAGGGTCACTCTCGGAAACTGGCATCTTGGAATCCCAGTCCTTAAAGACAGCAATCCAGAAGTGCTTGTAGGTCTCATCGGCCGGGAGATAGACATCACCCTTCCGCTGTACGTATTCGTACAGCTTGATAAGATCGTGCAGCCACATCTTCTCTTTGATGACGAGCTGGTTGTGTCCAGAAACGCACTCATCAGCCGCTCGGGTTTCAACGACATCCTGATCTTCAAGGAGATTCTTGAAACCGACTTCATGACAAATCGGATGCGATGAGGCTGCTGGAGCTACCTGCTGGGCGGGAAGTCCAGGCTGCTGAGGTTGCTGCATGAATAAGGAACTTCCACCTCCAGGAGTGTTGAGGGGCACACCCTGAGTAGACTGTGGCTGAGGCGGTACTCCGGCTCGTGGGTCTTGAATGGCAGCATATTGGTGCGGATGAGCCTGAAGTTGTGAACTCTGCTGGAAGTTTTGCTGAGAGAGATAGGGGTTCCCGAACTGCGGGTTGAAGGGAAATGCCGACTGAGTTGGAAATTGCTGTCCCATCTGAGGATACTGCTGTTGGCCAGCATGAGAAGCATACTGGAGAGCCTGCTGAGAGGGGTATGCATATGTATGCTGAACGAAGTTCGGGTTGGTAGACTGCTGCATGATATCCTGATGGGGAGTCTGCTGGGGCAAGGAGAAATTGGCAGCTGCCTGCATGCTAGTATAGCCGGCGATGAGATTCTGAGCATTGTACTGTTGGTTGGGGATGTCAGCGACGAGTTCACCGGCATGATCAGTGAGTTCCGAGGGAGCGGGAGGATGTTCTTGAGACTGATGAGCCTGAGTAACATGGGGATTCTGATGAGTTGCAGAAACTTGCTGAGCGTGGTTAGTTTGACTATTAAGGACTTGGGGTCCTGTAGTCGAAGCTGTCGCCTCAGGGCTATCGCTTGTGGTGGTGTTGGAAGCCATCGTGCCGATAGTGTTATAGGTTGAACGGTTCGAAGAAAGAGCAAAGAATCACAGATGAAGAACAAAACAAGATAGAATATAAATGATCAATACAATGAAATGATTGCCGAAGCAACCGTCTGTGTATGTTCTGATGTGTGTCATTCTCCACATTGCCAGTGCCGTGAGGTGTTCGAATATGAGAATAGTTGATTTTGACAGTGGCAGTGGCAGTGACTTATGGTTGCCATTCAATCTATACTTAGCAGTGGCTCTAGGATTGAATAGAAAATCGTCACAAGTAATGTTAATTCCTTGAAGACTGTCTCTTCAGTCCCTCGTCTGCTTCCTTATCTTCCTTTATTAACATCAATCTTCGACTCTTTTACATCAACAAAGACACAGAAGCTGCTTTACTCAACAACTATAACACATAGGCCCCCGCCCTTTAAGCTCCCTCAAAATCTCAATATGCCCGAGTATACCACAGAATATCTACAGTACTGGGGTGATGAATGGATTGCCCGTTGGTCAGAGAGCCACTGGGCTTTGGAAAACATAGCAAGGTGCACCTTGCAATATCTCAAGATATATGCAAACTGGGATGTCTGCTCCGGACTGTCGAAAAGCCCTTCCTATAGGTATAGGGCTGAACGTATCTTTGGCGTCGAATGGACACCATATGAGGCTGATGGAACTATCAAATACGCAGTCTCTTGTGGCTTCGGCGAGCTCGCCTTGCTGGAAAGCGAGTGGGCCAGAAATCGATTGGAGAAGTTTGAGGAGCGGTACTGGTCAAATGAGCTTATTGCAGAGGGTCAGTTTATGTGCGGCTGCATCTCCGGCACTCTCTTCAAAATGGTGCTTTGGATCGATTGGGTTGAACAACGCTGGGACAGTATCGTCGACGAGGTCGAACGTCTGCTCATGGCCCACTCCGAACGTGAGGCGATCATTGAGGAAGCGCTGGAGAGATCCGCTTAAGCATGGCCCTCAAAGGGGCTTCCTGACCGGAAGACGTATGCCACAGAGTCTTTCTTGATGGACTTACGCAAGCTTCGGAGAAGATCCCAACATACGGGTATGGGGATCGAGATGAAGATGTATGAGATGATGCCAAGTCTTGTTCACTGTCGCCATTCTCACGCAAGTTGTGAGTTCCTTACATGCCCCATGCCATGTTACTAACTGATGATAGATTGCGCCAAATGTCCAGTTGAGCACCTTAGAGATGCGAATTGGTCAGTCACCAACTCGCCTTGCCGAAATTTCTTGCTCTGTTCGTTTGCCAGTGTGCTACCCCTGATTCGTTGGACGTATCAAACAAGTCAGAGGAGAAGATGAGGAACACTAGTTCTCATTATGTCTTGCGATGGAGTGTTGGTTTTGTTATTATTGGAAGATCGCAGCTGTTTCTTGGCAGAGTATCATACTTTGAAGGAGAACAATAGTCTCCTGTCTCTCTACTGACGAAATTTGCATTGGCGTTTATAGCTTCTACTGAGTCTTATAGGATAATATAGGTCTTGGCTTTTGTCTAGACAGTCGAGATAATTGATCTTACTAAGAAACTGTGTCTTGTCCGGTACAATAGGAGTTTAGTCTGAACAGTTTCGTATATGACATGATTCATAATAATAATGTTTGGCAGATCAGAGCTTTTGTTCCCGGCTCGCCAAATTGCTTAGGCATGTTTTTGCTAAACTTTCAGCACCTAGTTCTCTAATATGCCCCTGGATCCGGATCACCTTAGCTCTTGAGCCACTAGTAGATCTTTGAGGAGGATCTAATTAGGAGCCCTTTCAGGATGATCTTGAAAGTTTAACTATTCTTCCATAGCTGATTACTACACCTAATATTGACAGCCTTTTTTCAAATCTGGCCTTCCAACTTGTACTTGAGGAGGGCAGAAAGTAGATCTTTACAAGCACTTGATTCACCTCGCACTTTGGAGGATGGGCAGGCTCAGCGAGTTGAGCACCAGTAGGCTCAGTCGGCTACATAATTGGCTGGGAAGAATGAAATCGATCAGCAGGAAAGCGTTGGAACATGGACGCTACCCGGAGAAAGGAAGAGCACCAGCGGTGAGGATATTATCCAGGATGATATCAATAGTGATGTCATTTCATGGTAATGATGAGTAAAAGAAGGAAGACGTAAGGTCTGAGGACCCCCTTACTTGGATCAGGGCGAAATAACAGTCCCACACAAGATAGCAACTCTACAATTTCCATACTCCCTTATGATAGAATTATCAAACTCTATCCGTGGAAACTTAACCTTAAGAAGAAATTCCTCTCTTAAGGGGCAGAAAGGGATGGTACGATAACGTTCAATTGTACTCAGTAATGTTATATCAGATCTACACCTAGAGAGAAGCCAAGCTCGCAACATCTTACGCATTCTTCGACACCTTTAGTTGGTTTAGCATATTGCAGACCTAAATACTCAATTAGATGATAGAGAGCTTGCACTGCTGACAGTAGATGAACTGGCAGTATCAATCACTGAAATTACCTGAGGCATCCATCCATGTCTTAGCTGTGGTGCCCCGAAAAGATCTTGGGAAAGAGCGAGCAAATACAATGCCAGTGGGACCTCCTTTACTACACTCGATCCCTCATCGTCTTTTCGCATCATCTCCTATCACAAAGCGGCGGAAGGCAATCTTACATACGTGTTTCTATATTTGTGTAAGCAATTGGTTTACAGTATTCTCATCTACCTCTCTTTACTGACCTGAGAAAGAAATAGTCCTCTATCATTGCCGAATACGCCATGGCCTCTCAAGGGCGCAACAGGCTGATTCTGCGAGAAGACATCATGAGCGACGACAAAGTGTCTTCGTCCAGAGACCCCAATACAGTCCTGAGCAACCATAGAAAGCTCACCAGGGAAGAAAAGCTCGCTCTCATCCAACATGCCCAAGAATACGCCTGGGTTCTTGTTCACCAACGAGGGCAGCTAGCGCAAACTCCAAGAAGCTCTTGAAGAAGTTCTACTCCGAGATATTCCTCCATTGGTCGACTGCTCAGAAGAGGAATCATTACCCGTCGCACGTCCGTCGCTTGAGCACGGAGGCTCCTGTAGGATCCTTAAAGAAGACTTTCTACAATGAGGCTGCCAAGGATGTCACACGAAAGTGTGATGAACCTGCTTACTTACGATTATTTGTCAATGAAAACGCTGAGTCCATAGAATGGACTTGGCACAACGGTCAAGGACTGGCTTTTACTCCGGAGCCTATTGAATTCGAGCCAGGCCTCACTGCCACTCAAGCCAAAATCAATGCTATTCACAACTACGACGACCATGAGCGACAACGAATAAGTTCCTACAATATTCAACGCATCATCTGTGCTACGCGTCGGATACTAGTCAAGTGGGCAGCTGGTGGAAGTAAGAACCCGGCCAAGTTTGATCCAGAAGACATGGTCAGAAATCCACCTACTTGTACTTGCATCCGACCTTGCCCGTTCTATGGCCACCGCGTACTCTCAGATTGTTGAAGGCATGAATGGAGAAAGCGATGTAGGAACTGACGACCCTGACAGTAACTGAAGCATGTTCACGGCGCTTCACAATACTGGAAGTCATACTCTCAATATTCAGCAAAACCCAGTTCATGGTTCACCATTAAGCAATAATATCTGTCCATGGGCTTTCCGGCCTTGAGAATATTTGTTAAATAACTGGAAGCTTGGCAATTTACACGTTGCTAAAGTTACAATCATGGCTATTGGGGCGGGTTAGAGCTGTCTCATTAACAATTAGCAACACTCGCCCCCTTTACTCCTATTTTCACTTGCTTGTGGTATACCATTCTTCTTCCAAGATTTTTCGTTGAACAACAATCTAACCCTGAAAAGATACACTTTCTCTACTTTCATGTATGATGGATGAAGAACGGTTACGATATGATGGACCGAACATACATTGATACATGAAGGGGCACCAGATTTGGTTGTTGATAGGAGGTTGCATAGTACATCGGCTTTAGTTCTACTGAAGTCGATACTGAGAAATTATAGCATAGCCCCTTTTATTTTCGTCAAGACATACGACTGGACTTCAACAGCACGCGAGAAGCCGAGAGAAATGCGGACTTGGACTATGACAACTACTCGATACGTATCACTTCTAAGCCCAGAGTTTGATGTTGATCTTCCTGTAAGCACAATCCGATTAGATTTAGAGACGGTGAACGACAAATACTGAGGTTTTTTTATTACAAGACTGATTCCTTTTAGCTAAATCGCCCTCTAACTGTTCCGTGAAGAGATAAAGCCACAGAAATATGAACCCTTCCAGCCACGCAAAATATCACCTGGTTTCGTAAATGTCCTTTAAAAATTTAGGCCTCCAGGGGGGACGCTGAAGCGATCTACTTTAACTTGCTTCAATCTAGTTTGATGTACTTCCCCATTCTGAGAAAAAGTCAACAATCAACCACTTTGCCTTGGAAAAGCAGAAACATACCGCTTACGGAGAGTCTTTTCACGATTGGAGAAATGGGTTTGCATGTTCTTGGCTTTTGAGGCACCTTTTTTTATTCTTCTGCGAGCCTGGCCCATCTTTGCATTCATTCTTTGCCTGTATTCCTCGATGGACTTTTTGACTTGTTGTGAAAACTGTGACGACTTTGAAGATTGATCAGATTTGGAAGGACTCGAAGAGCTTGAAGACCACGAAGGCCGCGACCATAAGGACCGTATCAATCCACTCATCTTGCCAAGCGAGGTAGGAGAGAAGGTTTGCGAGTGGTAGATGGTGTCGTGATGCAGAGGTTGTGAGTGTAGTAGAAACTTGTCACAGCAAGGAGTGTAGGGAAGAAGCGTGACTGAGAGGTTAAAACGTGTCCCAAGTCAAAGAGAGACCAGCTCTTTATATACATGCCTTGCATTGGAAATATTATCTTGTAATAAGCTAAAAGTACAGTCAAGGTAGTCCATGAATTCGGGAATTTTCAAGCATGTCTGGCTGATACAGTTGGAGATGACTGCCACAGGGGACTAGCTCTCGCGCAAGAATTCTGGCTTGTCGGATGTTGTTGATTCGGCGGAGCCGCTCTTCCTCTTCCTCTTCTTCTACCAGTTCGAATATCCTATCCATCACACCGTGGACATCGAAACCCGCCTGGCGAAGGCAGCCGGAGGCGTACTGTCCTTCTGCAATATATATGTTGTTGTCGATGGCGAAGAGGTCAAAACGCCAGAGTCTGTCTGCCGCCCAAGCGGTCTCCAGGTCGACCATGTCGCCGCTGGTGACTGAGGGGCGCCATGAGTGGCCGTCGTCGGTGTTCCACATTACCCCGAAGATGACATTGGTTCTCTTGCGGTATAGTTCGCTGGTTGCCAGACGATCGATGACCTCGGTGCTGGCGATGTTGGCCATGAGACATATCGCGAGTCTCGCGTGGCTTCTGACACTCCATACGGCATTCGACCATCTGACCAGCCACTCTCTGCCAAGATCATTGAGATATGTCTGCGAATACTCCGGCATCTGGAGACGTTAGCTCTGTTATTGTGCTGTTAGGAGCAGATAGAAATACCGTAGTGCTTGTTTTTTTGTTGATATAGTGCAGGGAGTTCCGGAGATGTGAGGTTGAGGAGTTGAGGAGTTGAGAAGTTGAATGGTAAACATTGCAAGAAGGATTTTCACCTACGGTTAAGCTAAGATGGAAGACTTTAGGATGAACTATCCTAAGCTTAGGATATCCTTAGGTCATCCTCATCAAAAAGATGCTGAGTTTAGAAGAGCCCTGAGGGTCAGGCAGTGCCAGCCACTGTCAAGCATTTTACCGCTCGAGTAGGTATCACCAGAATTGGATAGGTAGTAACACAATGCCCTGATTCACCTTACAATGGAACGAACGACCACCTGGCAACTTTTCAACCTGTCTACTCGCCATTATCGTTGGTAGTAAGACTTTAGCAGGAAATGTGTGTACTGATTGACCGACAGTGACTGAGCTACCACTCCGCGCCATCTGACCTTTTTGGGCATCTGGCAGGATATAATGGTTCAGTACCTGTATGAGGGACGGTACGAGATGGCTGCTCAAAACATGGAAACTATTTCCAAAGGCCAGCACTTCGACGGGAGGAGTCGGTCCGTTCTTGGTATTATGAGGGAGGAGGGATGAGGTTGAATGGTCTGCCTTAGCTTCGACAGCAGTGACCCGTGCTCTAACGCTTCCCCGGCTTGGGCGGCTTGGGCGGCTTGGGGACATTATCGTCGTTCAGCCGCGCCTCAGTCCTGCCTCTGAGCTGATGATCTTGAGTTTCTCCCGGGACTGTGCGGAGGTCGACAAGCGGCACGTTCAGCGTGTCCAGCACGCTGCCTCTCCAAGTGAAGTCGAGCCAGGTGGCGATAGGAGTAATGGGTGTTTGCCCAAAGTTGACCCTGTCGTAGACTTTGGGTTTCAACTGGGGATCCATGTACTGAAGCGCGAGGAGAATCTGGATCTGAAATACTGTGTCGTTTGCACCGTTATGAAGTATATCATGACCTCCTTTCCGTCTGTCTCCGGCGCGGAAGAGCCTGTTGTGTCTGCAGCGGAGACCAATGGCATCCATGACAGTCTGGCAGCCAAGTTGTTTTGTGAACATATGGTGCTTTTGGAGATCAAATAGTTGGATATTTGGTCGCGAGAACCAGTCAAGCCTAGACGTGCTAGTGTATCTAGCTCCAATGTCGAGTCCCATGTCAGGAAGACGATGTTTCGATCAATCTTGTTAGCCTTTTCATATGCTGTGCGCTCGCGAGACTTGAGAAGGTTTGCGAGGGGGCTTTCGAGGGTTGGGGCTAGTTGGTCTGAATCTATGTATTGGGACGGTCCGAACACAAAGCTGTAAGGTTCTGTGGTATGCCAGGCCTCACAGTTGCCACCGAAGTGACCCCGGAATTCGTTGATGATATAATGGCTTGGGTGCATTTTGTAGAATAGGTTGGAGGCTCGGTCTCCGGGGGGTGGGTAGGGCTTTGCTTCCTTCAGCAAGGATTCAACCATTGGGCGTGTGTCGAACCATGCCCAACCCAGTTCAGTGATTGGTTTGAAGTAGTATTGGCTACCAGAGGCACACTTGCTGGTCAAAAACCAGCATAGATCTTCAAAGTCAATCGACACGAGAATGGGTTCTTTCCAGCCTTCTGGCACAGGGCATTTTGGTGCGAGATACGAGCACGGGATAGCCGCATGGCCTCCTAGGCATCGGCTGTCTCTTCCGCACGGTCTCCGATGGGCTCAGGGACCAGAAGGGTTGGTTCTCGACAATTTTCTGGGACATGAGGTGCGACCCTCGTACCGACTGCAGCGAAATGCATTAGTCGGCGGCGAGCAACATTGGTGATGCAGGCGATGTTGTATTCTTTGATCCGAGATTCCGCATGTCGGTCGAACCTGAGGATAGCCTGATCAAGGGCATCTCCTAGTGGCAGTTCCATTTCGACATAACGAGGATTGACGAACCTTCCCCTCTCGTCTTTCCACAGGGGTACGAGGAGCTGGTTGAGACCAGCAGCAGGAGATACGCTCATATAAACAGGGCAGTCTCGAAGTCGGTGAGCACCGGGTGGCCCAGGATACTCAGCGCTTGGGGGGTGGTCTATACGCAGTGTGCCAACTCTGATTCTATTGTCGATCAGAGTGACTGGCTTCAAGGGCTTATCATCAGCATTTCCCACTGTAGTGTCCCAGTCTTCAAATACCGTGTCCCAGAATCCTTTCCAATGCTCGAGCTGGAAAGGGGTATGGGACCGTTCCTTAACTTCATGCATCAACTGACAAAGCCCGAGGAGACGGCTAAGTTCATTGCGTGAAAGATCCTCTTTTTCATATAAGATAGACCTTGGGTGGCGATCAGCGACATGTGCAGTCTGGTTGACAGCATCCGTATGCGAGATGCCTCCTCCGGGAGGAGCTTGCGGGGGTTTTTGGGGAGGATGAGCTGGTCTTGGGTAGCAGGAGATACGCTCATATAGATCGGGCAGCCAGCAAGTCGCGCCGGGCCAGGTGGATTAGGAAATTCGGCACTGGGTGGGTGGTTGCCTTTGAGCTTGCCAACCCTGACTCGATTCTCTTGTAGAGTGGCGGGCCGAAGCGGCAGGTCATCAGTATTCTCCGACGTGGTATCCCAGTTCTTGAATGCATTTGTTCCCAGAAGTGTCTCCAGTGTTTGAGTTGATATGGGACATTGGGGCCTTCTTCGACGCCGTGCATCATTTGTGCGAGGTCGATAAAAATTGAGAGTTCAGCACGGGTCAGACTTTCTTCCGTAAAGAGGATGGACATCGGGGGGCGCCCAGCACCATGTCTAGTCTGGTCAATGGCCTCAATAATTGAGATACCTTGGATGGGAGGAGCTTGGGGGGGTGTTGGAGAGGTGGAGCTTGAGGGATCGGAGCTCGTGGATGAGGGATGGGATCATCGTCGTCGTCGATAACGATGCCGACGTGGTCTTGCGGGTTCGCCATCTTGAATTAGAGTTAGCGAGGGAATGAAGATGAGAAAGATGAGGGAATGCAGAGAGAGGAGGCAGAAGGGGGGGGCGAGGAGATAAAGATATCAGAGAAGGGTTGATTAGCCCTAACATGAGAGTGACGCGTTTTGTTATTTCTTTGGTTTATGGCACTGGCACTGACTGGCACCGGCAACAGGAATAATTAGCGTTATAGTTAGAACTGGTATTAGCTTCCTTCTGTGCCTTATATTATACAAGATTGACCTCAAGGGGCGTCCAGGAACATGTTCAGTCTGGTCGATTGCGTCAACATATGATCTGCTTTCTCGGGGAGGAGGCCGGGGA